TCGGAAAGTGCAAGTAAACATACCCCTTTTGGATGCAATAAAGCAAGTCCCGAGGTATGCTAAGTTCTTGAAGGAGTTGTGTACCACTAGGAAGAGGATGTCGACTAAGGAAGTGGTAAAGGTAGGTGAGAATGTGTCCGCCATCTTGCAACGCAAACTACCTCCTAAATGCAAGGATCCAGGTAGCTTTACCATTCCTTGTGTCATTGGGAACACTAGATTTGAATCTGCCATGCTTGATTTAGGTGCTTCTATAAATGTTATGCCATATTCCATTTATGCATCTATGAACTTAGGAGCATTGAAAAATGATGGGGTAATAATACAATTGGCCGATAGATCTAATGCCTATCCAAAGGGAGTTTTGGAGGATGTTCTTGTGCAGGTTAATCATTTGGTCTTCCCGGCGGATTTCTATGTCCTCGAAATGGATGAATCGGACCATGCTCCTTCGCTGCCCATTCTACTTGGAAGGCCATTCATGAAGACGGCCCGGACGAAGATTGATGTGTATAGTGGAACTTTGTCCATGGAATTCGATGGGGAAGTTGTTAATTTTAATCTTTCTGATTCCATTAAATACCCTAGTGAGGACCCTTCATGCTTTTCTATTGATATAATTGACTCTTTGGCGCAGGGATATCTTGACGATTTGAATGACGATGCGCTTGAAAAAGTCATTACACGAGGCATGGAACTCAAAACAAAGGGGGCAGATTGCATGCATGCCCACGGCATACAAGAGTCCTCCCATGCCGTGCCCCCTAGTGAGGAATGTATGGAGTTGGTTGCTGCCCTAGAGTCACTTCCTAGGTACGAGGGTAAGTTTTCTAAAATTGAGTCGATTCCCATTTCGACTAACAAGTTGTTACCATCCATAGTTCAGGCACCCACACTTGATCTCAAACCACTACCGGGCCATTTGAAGTACATTTTCTTGGGGGAAGAGGAGACATTACCGGCCATCATTTCTTCATCACTCACGGCACAAGAAGAGGACAAATTAGTGCGTGTTTTGAAGGAGTTCAAATCTGCCATAGGTTGGACGTTGGCCGATATCAAAGGTATTAGTCCCGCTACATACATGCATCACATATTTCTTGAGGAGGGGGCCAAACCAACTAGAGAGGCTCAACGCCGTCTTAACCCTCCGATGATGGAAGTTGTGAAGAAGGAGATAATCAAGCTTTTAGATTGCGGAGTTATTTATCCTATCTCGGATAGTAAGTGGGTTTCGCCTATCCAATGCGTGCCGAAGAAATCTGGAGTGACGGTTGTGGAGAACGCAGAGAATGAGCTAGTGCCCACCCGAATCCAAACCGGTTGGCGCGTATGCACGGACTATAGGAAGATAAATGCTACCACAAGGAAGGACCACTTCCCATTGCCGTTCCTAGATCAAATGTCGGAAAGGTTAGCGGGTCATTCATTTTATTGTTTTCTTGATGGATATTCTGGTTATAATCAAATTGTTATTGCCCCGGATGATCAAGAAAATACTACTTTTACATGCCCCTTTGGTACATTTGCTTATCGTCGCATGCCATTTGGTTTATGTAATGCACCTGCTACATTTCAGAGATGCATGATGAGCATATTTTCAGATTATATGGAGAAAATTATTGAGGTTTTTACGGATGATTTCAGTGTGTTTGGCAATTCATTTGATGGTTGTTTGAGTAATCTTAGTTTGATTTTGAACCGTTGTGTTGAAACAAATCTTGTGCTTAATTGGGAAAAATGTCACTTCATGGTTAAACAAGGTATTGTTTTAGGACATATTATTTCTGAAAAAGGCATTGAAGTAGATAAATCTAAGGTAGACCTCGTTCGTCACTTACCCGCTCCAACTTCGGTTAGAGAGGTTCGTTCGTTTCTTGGTCATGCAGGTTTTTATAGGCGGTTCATAAAGGATTTCTCAAAGATTGCACAGCCACTCTGCCGATTGCTGCAAAAGGAGGTGGCGTTCGAGTTTGATGATGCATGCTCCACGGCTTTCAAGCACCTCAAGGAGGCTCTCACTTCGGCTCCCATTATCACACCTCCAGATTGGAGCCTTCCATTCGAGTTGATGTGCGATGCTTCGGACTATGCGATTGGTGCTGTTTTGGGGCAGCGGAAGGACAAACAACCTCATGTTATTTATTATGCGTCTAGAACATTAAATGATGCTCAATTAAATTACTCAACCACTGAAAAAGAATTACTTGCTGTGGTATTTGCATTAGATAAGTTTCGGTCGTACTTACTTGGGACTAAAGTTATTATTTTTACTGATCATGCAGCTCTCAAGTATTTGCTCACGAAGAAGGAGGCCAAGCCTAGACTAATTCGATGGCTTTTGCTCTTACAAGAGTTTGACATTGAGATTCGGGATAAGAAGGGCGTGGAGAATGTGGTGGCTGACCACCTAAGTCGGATGATACATGAGGAAACAACGCCAATTTCTGAAACCTTTCCCGATGAGCAATTAATGTCTATCCAGGTAAGTGAGCCTTGGTATGTAGATTTGGTGAACTTTTTGGTGACTAAACATACCCCTAGTACATTTAATAGGAATCAATGTGATAAGCTTAAAAATGATGCTAAGTCTTATGTTTGGGATGACCCATATCTCTGGAAATTTTGTCCCGATCAGATTGTACGACGTTGTGTGAATGAATCTGAGTTTCAATCTATTTTAACATTCTGTCATTCATATGCATGTGGGGGACATTTTGGCACCCAACGTACTGCCCGTAAAGTCTTAGAATGTGGGTTTTATTGGCCAACCATTTTTAGGGATGCTAGGACATTTTGCCTTACATGTGATCGTTGTCAACGAATGGGTAATATAAGTGTTAAGGATCAAATGCCACAAAACCCTATACTTTCTGTTGAAATATTTGATGTGTGGGGAATTGATTTTATGGGTCATTTTCCTTCATCACATGGTTTTCTTTATATTTTGTTGGCGGTGGATTATGTTTCCAAATGGGTGGAAGCAAAAGCCACCCGGACTAACGATTCAAAAGTGGTTGCAGATTTTGTGAAGTCTAACATTTTTGCTAGGTTTGGAATGCCTCGAGTCCTTATAAGTGATGGAGGTTCTCATTTTTGCAATCGCACAATCGAGGCACTGCTCAAGAAGTATAACGTGACACATAGGGTTTCTACACCCTATCATCCTCAAACAAGCGGGCAAGCCGAGGTGTCGAATCGGGAGGTAAAATAGATTCTTGAGAAGACGGTTGGGCCAAGAAGAAAAGATTGGAGCTTGAGGTTAGAGGATGCATTGTGGGCTTATAGGACCGCATACAAAACACCCATAGGAATGTCCCCCTTTCGGCTTGTGTATGGCAAACCATGTCACTTACCTGTGGAGTTGGAGCACAAGGCTCATTGGGCCGTGAGGAAGTTCAACATGGATTTAGACGAGGCGGGAATTCATCGTAAGCTTCAATTGAATGAACTTGAGGAAATACGGAATGACGCTTACGAGAATGCTCGACTTTACAAGGAAAAGACGAAGGCCTTTCATGACAAGATGATTCGCACCAAGTCCTTCTCTGTTGGACAAAAAGTGTTGTTGTTTAATTCTCGTCTTCGTTTATTTCCGGGTAAGCTACGTTCACGTTGGTTTGGACCCTTTGTTATTACTAATGTTTTTCCTCATGGTGCAGTCCAAGTTTGTAGTTTCAAAACAGGTCAAGAGTTCAAGGTGAATGGGCATCGCTTGAAGCCTTACTACGAGAGCTTTGTAGAACATGATGTGGAGGAGACAACCCACTATGCCGTGGGTTCCCATGAAGGTTGAGCAATGTGGCATCGTCCGGCTGGAAGACGTTAAAGCAAGCGCTACTTGGGAGGCAACCCATGCAATCAACAAAGGAAGAACTTGGGAATTGCTCCACACTCAGATTTGCGTCCCTAAACCCTTTCCTTTGTTGCTTACTTTATGCTTTGTGTAATGTTTTTAATTGTGTCTAAAACATTGAGGACAATGTTAGTTTAAGTGTGGGGGGTAACATTCTGTTTTGATATAGTTTTGCATGAAATTCGTAGGGTTTTACCACCTAGCATGTCTAAACTTGTTTCCCATTGTTTTTATAAGTTTTTAAGCTATTTTAGAGTGTTTTAGAGTGTGTTGTCTTAAAAATCCGAAAATACCATAAAAATTTGAAAAATTGTTTTGAAAAACCCAAAAAAAAAAAGAGTTGTTTTTGTGTGTTTGTTTGTGTCGTAGGTTACCTTCCAACACAATGATGAGGATTTGGTTTTTAATTGCATGATGGTTAAAGAAAGTTACAAACATGGATGGACGTTTGATATACTCTTTGGTTTATGCTTGGTTATCGTTATAGTTTACGAATTCACTTGTAATCACAAATGATAAAAATTAGTTTTTGTAACATGCTTGAAGGAATGAACTTAAACTAACGCTACATCCCTGTGAGACTTGAGCCTAAACGTTATTTGGAGAGTTATAATATGTTCATCATTGTTTTCTTAAGTCGTTGCATGATCTCATTATTCTTTGCTTGGTTACTACTTAGAAGGCGTTTCATCACTTAGTTCCAAATGCTAGAACTCATGCCCATTTCATTCAAAGCATGTCATTGATTTGCATAACACATATTCAAGATGAAGTTGTGTAGTGAACACCATAGCCAAATTGCCATATTTGCCTTTTCATTTGTTTTGTAGGATTTAACCCCGTTGAGCCTTGTGTAGCCTATGTTCTTTGTTAACCCACATTCTCCTCGCATAGCCTAGATTAGGACCATCCGTACCCTTGTTCTTGAAGCATAGTAAGCATGAATGAATTCCCTTTGATTAATGTGTTGCAGGAAATAAGTGTGGGGGAAGGATTATGGATGTGAGTTTTTGTGCCATAGGCACGGTTAAAAAAAAAAAAAAAAAAAAAAAAAAAAAAAAAAAGAAAAAATGAAAAAGAGTTGAAAAGAAGTGAAAAAGAGTTCCAAAGTATTGGTTGTTGAAGTAAGTTGTTTAAGGGCCCATACTCTCCTTTTCTCACTCTGAGCTCATTTCCTAAAACCCTAGCACCGTTTCTCTCTCAGTTCCTATCAAATTCGAGAGATTTCTCTCTCCATTTCTCTCAACCTAGCCCCAGCGCTGCTCACCCCATTCCTCTTCATCATCTCAGTTAAATCCGTTGAACAATCAACGATGCACCTCCACACGACCCATATCGAATTATCCTCCTGCCTACGAACCAACCTCCATTTCGTGGATCCATCATCCTTGCAAGTCGCCGACACCCACAAATGAACTCAGATACCACCATCAAAAGTAGGGTGGAGCTCTCGAAGATGTCAGATTTGAGAAGGGAAAAGGTAAAGTTTCGTACTTTAGTGTTTGATCCTGAAGTAGATTGAATTTTCCCTCTCTCCAATCCAATTCTTCTCCTTCCCAAATTTTCTGCTCAAATCTAAAAAATTCCAGGAGCGGAGCGGAATGCGCGAGCTCTGCTTCCGGGCCTCCCCGAAACGCTTGCAGGTCAGTCGTCTGAACCGATTTCTGACTTTTGGATGTATTGCGTTTGAAAATGCCGAAAATTAATTGTTTTGTTGGAGTCCGATTGATTTCGGAGGATCGGTGGTGGTTTTTAAATTTGTATTTGTATTTGTAAAAAATTGGAGTGAGTTTGGTGTGGATCCGAGCTAAATTAAGTAATTAACTGACTCTGCAATTTTTAAAAATTTTCATTTGAATTTTGTTTCAGCAATTTCAGCTCAATTTCTATGTTTTATGAATTTTAATTTTAATTATTGCTTTTGTGGAAAGAAATTTGAATTTTTATGTTGTTTAATAGAAAGATAGGTGCTTGGATGGGAGTGGACGTAGGAGCAGGGAGTGTTGCGAGGAGGGGAAGTAGTATCATCATCTGCTGTGTTGCAGTAGTGAAGGGATCAGACGTCGGTATGGCATCTGCTAGCCTGGGGAATGGTGGAGTTGGCAGTTCAAGGTATGTTAGACAATAGATGTGGCATAAGTGATAAGCCATTTTCCCTCTCTGCAAGTGTTAACCTCACCTGTGTGGGATTATGAAAAGGAGGGGCTTTCTTTTGCTTTGCATTGCGAGGGATAGAGGGAGACTTAATTTATATATTAGCCTTATGAGTTTACGGACCTTCTAATATTTCGTAGCGGGCCTGGAAGTGATTTTCCGGGAACAGGAAAGGTAATTGAGATTAGTCTCTTATTGGTTGATCATCCTCTATATATTTGATGAAGCTTCAACTGGCTTCTACTAGACAACCCCTCATTTCTTTATGGTAATTGAGCTTCATCTCTAATTGTTTATTGTCTGATTAGATTATTATAATATTTGGGTTGTTGGATATGTTGGATTTGAATTGAATTTTTGTTTTCATTTTTCATGGTGATGGATTTTCGAATGAAATGCACTCAACCCTGAATTCCAGTGGGGGTGGCTGAAGCAGCTGCCGGATATGACTTATGGCAGCCAAGGTTCCCTTATTGTCATGCTTTTAGTTTTATTAAATATGACAAGTTGGTATAAATATATATGTATATAGAGAACTTACATCTCTTGATAGATTGTGTTGCTAGATAGTTTTTCACGTTCCTGCTCAAAATAAAGTTTATCATGTTATTCTGTCCAACTATTGATTTGGAACAACGTTATGTAAATACTTTTCACACACCATACTTATAACACATTAGTCCTGTATTTGAAGACTTATATACAATACTTATAATTTGGATGAAGAGATCCTGATCTTTGTTTTTGGGAGTTTTTTATGCTCTGCTTTTTGAGCGAATCTTTGTTTATCATTTTTTATCATAACATGGTCATATGGTGTTACTGTCCATCCTTTTAGTTGTTAAAATCTGCTTTTTTGAGTTGTACATAGAACTCATAACGTAGAACTAGAAAAATGCAGGTGCAGAATGAACGACTAATCAATGTGAGAGAAGGGTTCAATTTTAAATGGGTTGTTATCAACCATTGAATTGCTTTTGGAGTTTTCATTTGATAAGAGAGATGGGGGATTCTTTTGGGTGAAACTTTTAATCCGTGAGATTTTTAGTTAGGTTGTGTTGTGGGTTTTTGCAAATTTCTATCGTGTTTGTGCATGCATTTTTTGTTATAGATTTGGAAGAAAATAGCATTACAGGATGTTGAGGGTTTGTTGGTGGGGGAAGGCAGCAGCGTTAAGATTTTGCAGGTGAGATATTAGGGTGAGAGAAAAAGGGGACAAAGAGCATCGAAGACACATTTGGGATTAGGGGTAGCAAAACAAGGGAAAAGAATATGACAGAGGAATGGACTCTTAATTTTTTCTTAACTGGTTTGGGATTTTTCTTGCCTTTGGTGTCAATCGGTGTCTGTTTTTTCATAATTTTTATTACTAATTTTTATGTCGTTTGCGATTTTGTATCCTAGGATTTTTGAATTTTATTGTTCATTATCGGTTTTTTAAAAAAAAAATTTGTCTTTGTTTGTTTGTTTTATATGTTGTGTTTGTGCTGGGACGCTGTTTTGCAAGTTCTCCTTCCATTGGGACCGCTGCATTTTTAAAGTGTTGAGGGTGAGATTTAGATGCTCAAAACACTCCATTTTTCCCAAATATGCGCGTTTGGTTCTCTTCGGTTTTAAATGTTTAAAATTAAATGGTTGTTTAGATAAAATGGTTTATTAGTTTATCTTATGTGTTGTGATCAGGAATTCAATTAGATTGGGTAAAATGCTTTATCAATTTACTGTTATAGGGAATTTTGTGTATTATGGTCTGTGAGTTTTATTGCTCATCGTTTGTTCTTTTTTCTTTGTTTGCCGGTTTCTTTTGCAGGGGATCACTACAGTTTGGGAGTCAAAATGACCACACTACCTCGTCAAGGGTTCAGATCATGCCGTCAGGTGATATGAGAGAGGGGGTTGGATGGTAATTTTGTCCATATGGTTTCGGACGGATTGGGATGAGTCAGGGACTTTGTTCATTTAGTTTGTTTCTAAGAGAGAGAGAGAGGGGTGAGGATGTCAGTGTCGATCTTTGATTCAGTGAGTGAGAGTGTGACAGTGAAAGAGAGGGGGATCATCGGGATTTCAGGGAGAGAAACACAGAGAGAGGGGTGATGGTGAACAAGCGCGAGTATGGTCCCTTAGTCCGGGAGTCACTCTTCATTGTCCATACTGTATTGCATGCTCAGATAAGTGTCTTTTTCAATTACATTTTGTACTAAAATCTATTTTTTTTAATTGTTTCTTGCATTTATATCTGCGTGAATATGGTGATTGAAAAGCCCAAAAAAAATTTTTTTGTACTGGTTTTGTTAGGTTAGGCAGCATGGTTTTTGGTTATTTTATTGTTATTTTTTAAATCGGTTGGGGGATTTTCTGGGCGTCTATTTAATTGTTTGCCCTTTGGTTTTTTTCATTCTGGGTTCCCCTCTTTCATTAGAGAGTACAAAATTTCCAAAGGTAAACATCCTATCCCTTGCTTCGCTTTTCTGTCCATAGCCAATAATCGGTGAAATAAGTGTGGTTCTTGGATCTGCGGTCTGAAACAAAAAAATTTGTCTATTCTCTGTGCCAGCTAATGTATCTATGATTTCTTTGCAGGACACTACTGCAACGCTCAAGTCTGTTTGGAAAATGGAGAGCACACGACTTAAGTATCTCAGACCCAAGGTAAAATGTAATAATCTCTGGCTCCCTTTACTAATGTACGCTTGCATGCACTAGATCTGTGAATTTAAATTATGCATGTGCACTCTCTGTGCCAAAAGTTTTTAGATCCGAAGCGGTCAGGATGCTAAGTTAGGAAGGTTAATTTTGTCCTATGGTTTTGGGACGGATTGGGATGGGTCTAGGTGGCTGTCATTCAATGAGGGTTTGGTGAATGAGAGCCATGCCGCCTTTGCACAAAGAGAGAGGGAGGGAGTAGTAGGTTGTGTTTTATTGTCTTCACTGCACCATTAGTTTGATTGCCTATCCCTGTGTATTTGATTTTGTCTGGAAGATGACTTCTAATTCCTATAATAATCAGATACTCAATCTTCAATCCTGCTTAGTAGCAGCAATCACCACCTGTTTCATGAAAGGTACACGTGAAGCAGTTGTTAATATTTGGGAACCAACAGAGCTCCTTATTTTGGGGGTTTGTTTACATTTTTGGCAGGAGAACGATTTAGAGCAAATGACTCAAAAAGTTAAACTTCAATATCGAAATTAATGGAAACCCATTGGTATGATTTCTTCATCTGAAATTTTTGATTACCCAATTGGTTGTTTCATCAATTAATTGTGTGTAAACATTTATGTGTAATTTTTTACTTCTTCCACTTAAATGGTAAGATCAAATTAAGCTTAAGAACTTTGGGTTTTGTAAATGTTGTGTAATTAAATTATTCATATTGTCAATTAATTTTGAGCAAACATTATGGGTAGTTGTTAATTTCCCTCAATATTTGATAATAATTAAACTAAAGCTGAGAACTTTGTATTTTGTTCATTACCTGACGTAGATTTTACTTGACAGAGAATGTACTTTCCTTGATATTATTCATGTTTTGTTTTCTTTCATATCGCGTTGTAATGGGTCTCTTTGGAAAAACAATTCTTAAGACCAATTGTGAGGTTTGTTCTTACATGGTACATGAGTGTTTTTATAATTCTTTTGCACAGTTGTTAGTATTTGTAGTTGTGATTGGTGTTGTCCTAAATGTTTGACTTGAAGAAATAAGACACTACTTTTGATGAACCATATTGAGAGTGAAGGAATCTCCTTTTGACCTGATCATGTTGGAGTACATTTACACTACGGAAATTCATGGACTCTTTTACTTGCCCCTTTTTATTTGTATTTGTTAATTACATGACAAAGTTTTCGACCCGTCGCATCGCGCGGGCATGAATCCTAGTTGCTTCGAATATAATAGTAGAGATGAAAGTAGCAGCGTCTAATGTGTTTAAGAATGTATCAAAAAAATAATTTAAGAACCTAATTTTCACTTCGATAATAATTTGGGACTAAATCCCGCAGTTTATCTTATTATTGCTTCGGCAACGCAGCCAAAGTCGAGAAACACACCACAAACTTCAAGATTGATTATGGTGACATGCATTTTGATTCAAAACAAACCATTGCAGAATCTTACCGAACTGTACAAGCACAGTTAGAATTGTGCAACATTTGTTATGGTCTGTAAACTTTCCAGATTTTGTGCAAATGCAAATGCTACCAAACACATAACAGTTACATTCTTCTGTAGGAAATGTTTTCGACAACGTTTACAGATAATCAAGCTCTAGTTGAACTCTCTTCGGATTTCGTCAAAGAATCAGGGCCTTATGCTTCTAAATTATTAATCACGATCGCATGTACAAACTACAAATTCATTGCAACCAGAGGTTGAAAACTAGTCAGATGTACCTAGATTGTCACGCAGACTTGCCGTTGGAGACACTCTGAATAAGCAAGGGCTTCTTATATGACTGCAACAAGAGAGAAGAACATACCACGCTTAGAGATGAAGCAGCCATACATGCACCTGCAAGCCTCGGTGGTAATCGAATTCCACTGAAAGGGAACAAAACTCCAGCCGCCACTGGCATGCCAAGGATATTGTAGCCCAGGGCCCAGTCACAATTCAATCGAATTCGAGACATGGTCTTTCAGGAGAGATCGATGGCTGTAACTTCATCTTCCAAGTTGCTCTTCCTCAGAACTATATCAGCTGCTTCTATAGCTACGTCGGTGACAGCACCAATTGCCATGCCAACATCTCCTGCAACTAAAGGCCGAGAGTCATTGATTCCATCTCCCACCATTGCCACCGCCATTCCTTTCATCTGCATCCAAATCCAGTTTAATAAGTCTGAAAACGTATGTTTGATAGATTGCACTCACATATCAAGTCGGAGACAAACTTGATATAGAAGAATGAGTGTGAAGATTTCTACAAGACATTATGATAACTCATATACTTCATACAATTATACCATCAATTCCTAGCCTCATTGTGATATTTTTGAGTTAAACTAGTTGTGTTTTACCCTCTTTTGTTTTAATGTATAGTCAATTGTATTTTAGAGTCCATTTGGGGGCAAATGAGGCAAAATGATGTTGAAAGTGGAGAATTGAATAAGGATTATGATGTAGAGAGAGAACCATTGAAGATGGTGATGAATATGGCCCTTAAGAGACCAATAACAGAAAGAAAAGAAAGAGGTTTGAAATAAATGCTTAATTACTGGGATGTGTTGCCATTATGTAACAGCCTCTTTTTCCTTATAAAACCTAACTTTTCAACCACTTTTACATAGGCCCTCTCTTGGGGACAACCAGAGTTCTCTTCTCTTTCTTTGGCCTTTCTTCCAAAAACAAAACCTTATTCCTTCACCATGTGTTGCAATCAAAGAAACCACGCAGCTGCGCTATTCTTGAAGGAGTTCCACATCAAAATTGCTTCAGGGGGTTTCTTCTATGGATTTAATTTCACTTATGTTGTTCTTCATATTTACATATTTTGTGATCATGTTGTGTAATTAAGTTCATAGTTGGGGATTTCGATGTAGCCTTGCAAAACTACTCTATGTTATTAAGTTCACGCCCATGTATTTGTCATGCAATCTGCTTGAGAAACTTGCGGAAAGAATTAAGCATGCCACAAGAACAACCAACTGAGATCTATGTCGACAACAAGTCTACAATAGTTCTAGCAAAGAATATGGTATTCCATGATAGGAGCAAACAAATAGATACCCGCTACCATTACATAAGAGAGTGCATTGCAAGAAAGGATGTGCAAGTTGAATACGTGAAGTCTCAAGACCAAGCCGCCGACATATTCACCAAGCCACTCAGGCAAGAAGACTTTGTCAGATTGAGGAACTCAATCGGTGTCACAAGACAAGATTAAGGGGGGATGTTGAATGCTAATCTTCTCTTGGCCCAAGACAATGGATCCAGCCCATGCACAAAGAAAGATTCATGCACACGCTAGAGAATTCTAACAATACACAATGTCGGTGGCACCATGCTAGAAAACTCTAGAAATTTTGTTAGTGGAAATGCATATTGGAAGTTGTAAAATTGTGAGGACATTAGGCAAAGCCTAAGTCGGTGTGCATGCTAGAAAGATCTAGTTGCTTGTAAATTTGCGTGGTTGTCATGCAAAGCCCAAAGGCGGTGGGTATGTGTTGTAATAGTAGAAGTAACAACCAGTGGCGGATCCATAATTTTAACATAGTGGTCCTAATATAAAAGCTCAAAAAAAAAAAAGAAAATAACATTAAAAATAAATGGAAAAATACAACTTCGACAAAAAATATGTATGAACTAACACTGTAACATAATCTTCGACAAAAAAAAAAAAAAAAATACATTGTAACACAATCCAAGTAATATTAGAAAATCCTAACGAATCAACAATAAATATGTACGAACTAACACTAAAATAGATATGAAAAAATCCTAAGAAATTAACAAGGAATAAGGCTGAACTTAGTTTAAAACCCGTTAGTATTGATTGTTTGACTTTTTATCAAAAATCCTTACCAAAAACCATTATCAAAGACCCTTACATATAAGTATTCACTGTTCATCCTTTTGTTTTTAATTAGTGTTCTTAAAAAAATAAAAATAAAACTAAAAATCCAAACAAATTAACAATAAATATGTATGAACTAACACTAAAAATAAGTATGAACTGACACTAAACTAGAAAACTTACAGAAATTCTGAAATTTCTGTTGATGGCCTTCGTTGGCTTGGGTGGCATGAGGAATAGGAGCGGCATGCAATTAGGTATATTATATTTGATAAAGTTGAATTTGATTGAAAGCAGACCAATAAAAAGCCATGGGCTTTTATTAAATTTCAAATTGTTATCACGTGGGTTTTAATTTTTTTTTTGAATGACTTGGCTCAAAACGATGTCGTTTTGCCAAGTCATTTAAAAAAAAAAAAAAGCTTTCTTCTTCCTCCTCTAGTTTTGCACAGCGCAGCAACCATGGCTGCTGCTCTTCTCTACCACTTCCCAGACTTGGGTGGTCCTAGGAGGTTCTCACAACCATTTATCCAAGCTTCCGGGTGGTCCCGAGACCACCCTGGTCTCTTCGTAGATCCGCCTCTGGTAACAACTAAGAGAGCAAGCAGTTAGAAGTAGTAAGAAGTGAGAGTAAGTAGAAGAAGCACCCATAGCTTCTAAGAGTGTTTGAGTGATCCTTCTTGTATTAGTTTGTGTGAGAGTAAAAAGTTTTTGTGTATTAACTTGAGTGTTTCTTTTTTTCTTTTCTATCAATTTTCGCTGCATTATATTCTTCTTTATGAGATAAATATCTTCAAGGTAGTGAAGCCTTTTTAAACCCCAACAACCAGTTGGTGGCCAAGATGTTTTGAGGGTCACTAGTGATGTGAGCTTTGAGAGCAAGAAGCGCAGACTGATCTGTGCTAAAATTGGTATGAGCTATTGCTAATGCACCTGCTATTAAGTAATTAGCCATAATCATCACATAGATATAACACAAGCAGTGTATCATAGACAACATTTTCGAGAGTAGAAAACGACTTCTCTCCATACACAATATATATACTCTCCTTAATCGTAGTAGTTTTCGTCTTTCGGTTTTAATTTGATAGAAAACTTGAACTCATTACATTCACATAAAATAGGGAAACAAGTTGGTGTTACCAAGACTTGTGCACGACTTAGACTTGCCCGGCTTCTACGTCTGAGACTTGCATTGCTTGGCTTCTACTTCGAAGTGACGAAACTTGGACAAGTCGAACGAAGACTTGTGATTTGGATTTTTTACATATAAAACACACCATTCATTTTTTGCTGATAGCTTAGCTACGTGGGCAAAGTGAGATTAAAATCAAGTTTAAAGAGGCGTAGTTAAAAATAAGCCTTCATTTTTTGCTGATAGCGTAGCTAGGTGAGGAGGAATGGTGATTGCAATGAGACTGATGTAAGAGAGATTCAAGGCCACGACTTGAAGGTGGCGTACCAACCCAGTTGCAACTTGCAAGTGAGCAATCAATGGTAAGGATGTTTTGGTCTGTGGTGGTGATTTTGGTAATTTGCGCTGCTAGCCGACGAGTTCTATCCATTTTGTGCGCACAGCTGGAGATGCCCAAATGTTGAATTGTAGTCTTCAGTTCACACACCATCAAAACAAACAACATAGAATTGTGATTCTACAATGCACTTTAAAAGTTTATTAAAATTTTTCATTTTTTTGGTAATTAAGGGGCCGTTTGATAACCATTTCGGTTATTTATTTTATTTTATTTTTTTTTGCTTTTATTTTTTGTTTTTTAACTACTTTCAATTTTCAAAAAAAAAAAAAAAAAAAAACTAAAAACTAAAGGTTAAATTTTGAAAACTAAAAAAGTAGTTACCAAAGAAGTTTATCATGGGCCTCGATATCAATTTTTATACTGGGCCACTACATTCATGCAAATCCAGAAGAAATCAAAATTTCATCTTCTCCATATAATGGCATGTGTTACAATAAATTTCATTCTTGGAAAAACAAATTTTAGAGTGTGTTCTTGACACTTTTTGCTCTCTTTGCATTTCACTATAGATATTATATTTAATTTTGCTTAAAAAAGTTTTTTTTTTACATATGTAAGCAAAACTAAGTAGAAACCATCGATTCTTCTTTTTCTTAATTTGTTTTGTTTCTTGTTTTACCCATAAAAATATAATTAAAAGTTCATTTACAAGGTTGCTTCAGTTGCTGTCATTTCAA